ACCTGGATATATATTTTACCGTAGCAGGTTCGCTAGATTCAGAGGAGCGAGGTGCGAAACAAAGTAGAGCGCCCGGCTGTAGTTGCGTCATGTCGCTGCCGTGGCGCCGGTGAACCTTTCAATTTAGGAGCTCAGCGCCACGAAAGTAAAAGTGGCACCCATGCAGGGCAGCCAAAAGTGGCAGCCATGCAGGGCAGCCAAAAGTGGCACGCATGCAGGGCAGCCAAAAGTGGCACGCATGCAGGGTAGCCAAAAGTGGCACGCATGCAGGTGCTTTACGCTAATTTAAGGATCATCACAGTGATTAACTCGGATTAAATCGGATTAGCGTGGATCAATTTAGATTAAATTTGATCTTTTGGATTACTTTGGATCTTTTGAATTAGCTTGGGTCTTTCGCATTAGCTCGAATATTTTGCATTAAATTAAATTTACTCGTTTCTCTTTAATTACCTCGGATTAGCTTGAATCTGTTTGATAAACTTTTACCTCATGGATTAACTTGGTTCAATATCGCGTACATTGGAAAACTCTCATTTTTCCTATTCCAACTATTGGAATATAAAAAGTTCCGTAAAAGTTAGTTAATTTACACAAACCTCGACTCGACTGAACAAGAAAAGGAGTTAAAGAATTTTATTATGGGCTCACTATGAAGATTGTTATTCTGAAAAACATTCGCCTACTTACATAAAAAACAACTTCCATTACCGAATTAAAATGAATTTATTGTATTCAACTTTCAAATCAATTCATTCGTTCCAATTCAAAAATACAAAATTAACGAATGAAAACCATTTTTTTGGATGCAACATTTACACTTTTATTTCAATGATAAGCTTCAGGTTACTCAGTATTTTACATGCATGATATCAGCAAATATCACAATTATATTTTAAATTCGAAACCAAAGACGAATCGAATGGGGATATTTTTTTATCCAAATCCAGGCTTTAACGTCCTTTGTTGTGAGAGGTAATCATTTCTATACTAGCCGTCGATATATAATTATATCAAATAACCTTTACGAATGCAGCATTCAAAATAGATCATTCTAACTTTATCTGTATACTACTCATGATCAGTAAAGACAGTCAACCTAAGAATAAATGTTGATTCTCTCCCATCAAAAACATATAAATGATAGTTTATAATAATAATACTGGTGAATTTCAGATTAAAATAATAATAATTATTATAGTAAAAGTATAATAGTTACAATATTAATAAAAAAAAGTCGAAAGGACATGAGCTTGTAGAAATAAAATATAAAATTCATAAGTAGAGAGCGGATAAATAAAATTGAGAGAAAAGGATATGTATGAACGGAATAAATAATAAACATTTGCTCTGCGACAAAATGAATAGCGTCGCCAAAATGAAGCCATGGGCAGCAGGTGCATAGCAGCTGCCCTGCACCTGAAGCAACAGATGCAAATCAGGCGTACCAACATCTGCGCTGTGAGCAGCTCTGCATACTCAGCAGCTGTATAGGCAGATACAGCTGTATAGGCAGATGCAGCTGTATAGGCAGATGCAGTTGTATAGGCAGATGCAGCTGTATAGGCAGATGCAGCTGTATAGGCAGATGCAGCTGTATAGGTAGATACAGCTGTATAGGCAGATGCAGCTGTATAGGCAGATGCAGCTGTATGGGCAGATACAGCTGTATAGGCAGATACAGCTGTATGGGCAGATACCATCTAGTCTGTCCGGCACCTTGAACTAGATAACTGTCATCGCTTCGGCTAAATATTGAAACGAATTTTTCTTTACTCCATATGTTTTCAAATGTTTTAAAAAATTAAAATGGCCTTCTGCTTCCATCTTTTCAGCATTTCCTTCCAGCGCACTAAGCCACGAGATAGCAGTTCATTATTTAGGTTAATATATTATTTCATAAGTTAGTTTAATATATTAGTTAATTATATAGGTTAATATAATCGATATTTTTCTTTCCTGTGAATTTGTACGAACAGATATATCGAAGTAGAGAGCAAGGTTCAAAATACGAGAATTTTTCATCACTTCTTTTATTATCTAATTATAATAATGCTATAATCAATGAGGTAGACGATTAATGATACGAATTATAATAATACATAATGAGTTTTTGTAGCATTTCTTCATGTATGGCATTCAGAAAATATACGCGCAGGAACAACTGTTCTATGTAGAACAAATATGTTAGGTAGAACTACCCTTGGTTAGAATAACTGTCTGGGGTAGCAGGCCGGCGATGAATGACATGTATTCATCACAATGTATACATGTATGCATCACAATGTATACATGTATTCATCACAATGTATACATGTATTCATCACAATGTATACACGTATTCGCATACACGGAGAGCAGCGATGGAACACTTGCTTGCTGTCGCTACATATGTCAGATACACTCAGTGAAATGAGCGAGACTTTGTCCAAATAGCTGTGCACTTCTTGCCCCCGTGTGGGCCACCCTGACCCGGTTTAATCCAGTAAAAAGGCGTATCATAAATACGTGAAAAAAGTGTGTAATTTTTCGAGCATTAGGACGCATTTATTTCTCTGAGTGTAAAGAGAGCTCACAAGCCTACCAATTAATGTTGCACGAATATTTTAGGCCAGTCAACATTACTGATCATGATAATTATGTTGTAGGATTAACATTCGCCGGCGCAATTCATTCAAAGTTAACGTATAAAACATGCCGAATGTTACATGTTAATATATTGGCCTCAAGTAGTGTCTGTTGAATGTAATTGATGTATATACGTAAAGAACTGATACGTCCTTTTACCAGTCCAAACTGAGTCAGGATGACACACACAAGGGCAAACAGTGCATCACTTCTTAGACAAAGACTAACTCATTTTTAGCGCATTTTCACATTTATGGAATAAATGCACTATTGTGTTCTGTCTGTCCGTCCGTGAATTCACGTTTTCGTCGACGAGAAAATGCGCTCTCTGTCACTCACTGCAGTGAGTTCTGAGTTATATTTTTCTGAGTGATGTTTGGCCGCGTTTAGCAGTCGAGTTTCTCGCGGTCAACTTTGATGAAGGAAAACTTTCGCCGCCTCAGAGAATGAGTCAGCAAAAAATTATTTTCCCTTCTCATGCAGCGCAAAATAATTGTTTCATTAATTCAATGTTCATGTTATATTTAAAATATTTGCCTTTTTATTCACCATTCATGCGATGTTTATGTGGTGATGGGGGCATGAACATCGATCAACCCCACATATGTTGTGCATGTGTGAGTGTAGGTCATACATAAAATACATATAATGTATAAATAATGGATAAATTTTATATGATACATTCTGAGATATGAATGATACATTTTATTAAAAATGACGCATTTTCTCTACACTCGTAGCTCGGATACGCCATTTGGCTACATGAAACTGGGTCAGAAAGACCCACAAAAGAGCAAATGTGCAACACTATCTGGACAAAGTCTCGGTGATTTCTCTGTGTGCAGGCTATAAAGTAATGGCTGAAGCTCGTACAAGAATTTCCGGGTAGAAGTAGTAGTATAGTTCCAAGTAGAAGTAGTAGTAAAATTTCAAGTAGAAGTAGTAGTAGTATAGTTCCAAGTAGAAGTAGTAGTAAAATTTCAAGATAGAGTTCCAAGTAGAAGTAAGAGTAGAGTTCCAAGTAGAAGTAATAGTAGATTTCCAAGTAGAAGAAATAGTAGAGTTCCAAGTAGAAGTAGTAGTAGTAGAGTTCCTGGTAGAAGTAATAGTAGAGTTCCAAGTGGAAGTAGTAGTAGCTTTTCAAGTAGAAGTAGTAGTAGAGTTCCAAGTAGCAAAATGTAGTAGTAGTAGAGTTCCAAGTGGATGTAGTAGTAGCTTTTCAAGTAGTAGTAGAGTCACAGGTAGATTACCTACACCAGAGATGAAAGTCTACTGATGTCAAAAGAAACTCTTCTCGAGAAAAGGTTTAGGAGCGATGGAGTTGTTGCTGCTGTTGTGCCATGTTGCCGAGACCACAGCGCTAGAAAATGTGTGCAACATATGGCACGTGACGGCATGTGGCGGAGAGTTTCCATGTGGCGGAGAGTTTCCATGTGGCGGAGAGTTTCCATGTGGCGGAGAGTTTCCATGTGGCGGAGAGTTTCCATGTGGCGGAGAGCTTCCATGTGGCGGAGAGTTTCCATGTGGCGGAGAGCTTCCATGTGGCGGAGAGTTTCCATGTGGCGGAAAATATCCATGTGGTTGAGGAAATCCAATATGGCTGAGCAACATCCCATATATCTTATTCACATAATAATATTGACTTACGGACAATAATATTGACGCGATGCATCGCACCACGACGCTACTTTGGCTAAGCTAATGAATTTATAGAGGATTCTTAGAAGAATAGATTCGTGTCATGTGTGTCTTGTATGTCATGTGTGTCATATCTGTTTGATTACGATGTCCCCGGAAGAAAATTGTACCCAACACAGATATGAAATAAACTTTATACCAACACAAAAGTTAAAGCCAACACAAAAATTGAATAAAACTATAAATATAATACCTGCTTAAGGACGCAGTCTAGAGGCTGTCCTCGTTATAAATTGTACCAAACATATATGAAATAAACCAAATATATGAAATAAACTTTATACCAAAAAATAAATTTAAAGCCAACACAAAAATTGAACACAATTATAAAAATAACATAGCATAACATAACATAATTATAAATATAAATATAAATAAACATAATTATAAATATAAATATAAATAAACATAATTATAAATATAATACCGTACCTGTTTCAGGACACAGTCTAGAGGCTGTCCTCGCTATAAATTGTACCCAACACATATATGAAATAAACCACATATATGAAATAAACTTAATACCAACACAAAACTTAAATAAAATTTAAAGCCAACACAAAAGTTAAATAATATTTAAAGCCAACACAACAATTGAACACAATTATAAAAATAACATAACATAACATAACTATATATATAAATATAAATAAACATAATTATAAATATAATACCTGTTTAAGGACGCAGTCTAGAGGCTGCCCCCGGTCCCTGACCACGTCCTCGGTGATCTGGTAGTCACGTCTGCACATCTCGCCGATGTGGGGGGCGGCGTCCCTGGTGTGACTGCCATCATCGCTGGCTGCTGAGCTGCTGCAGCTGCTGCCCCCCGACGACACCGCTGCTGCCGGGGGTCTCACGATGAACTCTTCTTCGTATAGAGTCTGCAGGAGAGGTAAACGGGTCTTTGTTAGTGAATTATTGCCAGCTGGAGAAGAGGTTGATGTCTTAAAGCGCCGGCTGGTGCGGGGTAAACGGGTAATTGTTAGTGAATTGATGCCAGCTGGAGAACACGTTGATGTAAAGCGTCTGCTGGAGAGGTAAACGGTTCTTTGTTAGTGAATTAATGCCCTTAGATTAACATTGGAACACGTACAAAGAGATCCTTAAGAAAGTTGCAGAAAAATAATGGACGTCCATTAATGGACACTGAATCACGATGACGTTAAGCGTCCGCTAGTGCGGGGCGAACGGATCTTTAGCTAAAAATAGTGACACTCTCCGGGTCTAGATAGTGACGCTTTCTGCACGTAACACTGATACACCAGTAAGCCGGGCCAAATTGATTCAGAATGACCCATACGAAAAGCAAACAGTGCATCGCTATGTGGACAAAGTCTTCTCATTTTTCAGAGTGACAGCAGACATTTAATACTAAGTCAATGAGAACTTGACCAGCGATAATTGACCGACGTATCGTTGAATTATCGCCTTAGCGAATGTTGAACACGCATAGGAAATATCAATTAATTTAATGAGAAATTCAATAAACAAATAAAAGCTTTAACTCCTATTTAACACAGTAATTTAGTGATTACAGAGAAGTCTACCTCCTGAAGAGGCATTATACCTGCAACACGCTTGAAATGAAGGCTCTGTTATACAGAATTTGAACTGCTTTTCGAAAACGAACAAGCGACAACTACAAGACGAGTATGAGCGATGGTTATAATAAATGGAAGCCAACGTAAATTACTTGTACAAGAACATATGATAATGTTGAACAATAACTACCGTATTGATATCATGAACCTTATGTCTAATTGACTGTATACATCAGGCTCGTATATTACAACAGCATTGACGCCGACATATGCATGTTTAAACAATGAATGAAAACTGTTATAGTTAAAAAAAACTGACATCCTTTCCTCAAATAAGATACCTTTTTAAAAGCAAAGAAAATACCACAAAAATTCACCATATCTTTATAAGAGAAAACGTTTCGGAGTCCAGCTCCATCGTCAGTTCAAACCACAAAATTCTGTTCAGAAAAAGTTCAGTCCTAGAAACACAAATAAATCAATTAGTAAAGTAAATGCACTAAAAATAAATAGATAAGACAAGCCATAGTCAATTCGTGAACATTGGTAAAACTCTTCAGGCGATCTACGAACATATAAGTGTTATCCACAGTATACTGGTTTGTCGTAAGACAGTTCAGAAGCGGAACCAAAAATTTTGCAAGTTTGAAACTAGGGGTATTATAAGCAGCAAAAATTGGGCGGAATTGAAATTTCACATTGAAATCTGGTTTATGAATTTTGGGCAGACCATACAAGATACCCGGGCCAGAGCAAGAAACATGAAGTTGAAAATATGTTTCAGATGACAGTACAGCGGAATCTTTAAGTTTTCGTAGAAAATTATTAATTTTATCCTCTATCTTCAAAACTATTTTATCTTAAATTATCGTCGGTTTTGTCATATGAAGTGAAATATTCTTTGAAACACAAACTCCAATATTCCAACAATTGCGCAAGGCGGCAAAAAAACGCTTATAGTAGCGCTCATGACGAGCAAATTGTAAGTGCCACGGCATTACAATAGAATCTCCATTGTACAAATCTCTAAAGAACTCCTTTAACAATGAGCAATCTAATGATCAATTCATTGAAGGAATATAGGTTTGTTCTCATGAACACAATAGAATTTATGTAGACTTTTTACACGATGTGGATTAATGACATGTAACGCACATTGTTGTTGTAAAACAGATGAATTGGTTAAGATGTCACGTGCAACATTAATATCGACTCTGATATTAGAGTGAATTTCACGTTTATGACGAATAGGTATATATAGTTCGACGGTTCCTGGCTCGAAGGTTCAGCATACGAGTACCGCTACCTGTAAAAAATTTTCTCGCCAAAGAGCAACTAACGGCCTAAGTACACGTAGCGGCCTAAGTGCACGCAACGGCTTAAGTGCACGTAGCGGCCAAAGTGCGCGTAGCGGCCTAAGTGCACGTAGCGACCTAAGTGCACGTAGCGGCTTAAGTGCACGTACCGGCTTACGTGCACGTAACGGCTTAAGTGCACGTAGCGGCTTAAGTGCACGTAGCGGCTTAAGTGCACGTAGCGGCTTAAGTGCACGTAGCGGCCAAAGTGCACGTCGCGGACTAAGTACACGTAGCGGCCTAAGTGCATGTAACGGTCTTATTAAGTGCATGTAGCGGACTAAGTGCACGTAGCGGCCAAAAGTTTACGTAGCGGCCTAAGTGCATGTAGCGGCCTAAGTACACGTAGCGTTCAAGTATACACGCAGCGGCAGATATCTCGTAAGTGATAGCAGTTCGAAATGAAGTATTTTGATTTAAGCACCACTGAAGTTTCGGTTTGACATGGCCTGAGAGTAGAAGTTATTATACATGCTTTAGAGTCGTTGCTTTATCAGTACGTGTTTAGATTATGGTACTAGTCAAGATCACTCGTGCTGTCACATAAGATGCATACTAATTTCTACTTATAGATTCAGCTTTTATCAATATTATCGTTCTGTCTCTCTTAACGCAGAGTTTCATGAACGCTGGCATGTGCCTGAACATTGGTCCTTAATTCATAAATAATAATCAATCTTTGAATATTGTTAAAAGACAGTGATTACAATCAATTCACTATATTATCGAATAAATTATGCATGAACAAAATACTCTCGTCTATAAATAAATTACTTTGTTTCCAGTAAGCAAGCACCGGCACTTGATATTCGATTCAAAGACTTCTTGAAACTTTCCTCATCGATTAACTGGCAGAAATGCTATTAAGATCGCCTCTAACATAAACAATACGAACTGCAGATGACAACACCAAATTCATCATAAAATTCTGCTGATTTAACAATACTACAAAAAATTGCAGACCAAAACAACGAATTCATCTTCAAATTAATTGGTTAAGCAATAATATTACGAACTAAAAAAATTCATTTCCATCTCGAAGACTGCATGAAGCAAGTTCAGAATAAAAAAGAAAATAAATTTAATGGCCGAATTTCGAAGATTTTGATCATTGAGGTTAAATTGAGTCGAGAGCAATATCTTCATATTACATAAATGCTTCAAAATACATGTGCGGTTAGGGATAAAAGAATGAATGTGATGAGAAGACGTGATGGATATGAACAAGATTTGTAATGACGTACACTTTCACCTCATCAGCAGCATCGCCACGTCCCATTTATACTATACAAGGCCTATGAAAAATCATTAATGCTGAGCTGCAGTCATTCTCATCACGATCTTGGAGATACGTTCAACATAGGCATACAATCAGAGAAATAAGAGAGACTTTGTATAAATAGCAATACACTTAATGCGCTTGTGTGGGTAATCCTAATCCATTAGTTTGGCTTGGCAACAGGGTGTACACTATTTGTGACCCAATAATTTTTTGAGGTACAGGGCTTGCCCACTCCGTCTACGACCATGCTGATGCACCGCCTTCGCATCCGGGTGCATGCGAGATGAATTATTATCGCATCCCGGGAATCGAACCCGCGCCTCTCGAGAGCAAACTGTGTGCTCACGCATGAAGTCAGAGCGCACAGCACACAATAACTGCACAATTTATTTTACCTGCAGAGTGCGTAAAATAACTACAGTTCCAAAACAGCAGCAGAGAGCAATAAATAACTGCAGAAATAAAAAAATGGCTGAACAATACGCATAATAACTGTAAAGTACACAAAATAACTGCATATTAAGAAAAAATCCTCCTGATTTAGCGGAACGGCAGAGTAGGCGAAAGTAGCAAGAGATCGCGAAATAGTAGCAGAGTTAAATACGATGAAGCTCAAAATAACAGCAGAACCCAAGCGCACGTAAAATACCAGCAGAACGGGTAAAATACCCGCACAACACGTAAAATACCAGCAGAACACATACAATAACAGTAAAACGTAAAATAACAGATGACCGCGGCTGCTCTTGCTGTTGTTGGTGCTGCTGATGCGCTTTTTTGCAGGGTAAAACTGAGTCAGAATAACGCCAACAGGATCAGAAGATACACTGCCATGTTGCCAGAGGTATAGACACCTCACGCGCGGCCATGTTGCCAGAGGTAGACACCTCATGACGCGGCCATGTTGCCAGAGGCAGACACCTCACGCTCGGCCATGTTGCCAGAGGCAGACACCTCACGCGCGGCCATGTTGCCAGAGGCAGGCACCTCACGGGCGGCCATGTTGCCAGAGGCAGGCACCTCACGCGCCGCCATGTTGCCAGAGGCAGACACCTCATGACGCCGCCATGTTGCCAGAGGCAGACACCTCATGACGCTGCCATGTTGCCAGAGGCAGACACCTCATGACGCCGCCATGTTGCCAGAGGCAGACACCTCATGACGCCGCCATGTTGCCAGAGGCAGACACCTCATGACGCCGCCATGTTGCCAGAGACAGACACCTCATGACGCCGCCATGTTGCCAGAGGCAGACACCTCATGACGCCGCCATGTTGCCAGAGGCAGACAAGGTCCAGCGGTTCGCCGTCGGAACAAAAACGCTTCTCCGCTCCCGATGACCGCGGCTGCTGTTGCTGTTGTTATTTCTGCTGCTACTGCTGCTATTATTGCTACTGCTGCTGTTGTTGCAAATGCTACTATTGATAGTACTGTTGCTAATTGTATCGCCGGTACAGCATTTGCTGCTGCTACGGTTGTTGTTGCTGCTGCTGTTGTTGTTGTTACTGCTGCTATTGTTTCTACTGCTGCTATTGTTTCTATTGCTGCTATTGTTGCTACTGCTGCTATTGTTGCTACTTCTGCTATTGTTTCTACTGCTGCTATTGTTGCTACTGTTGCTATTGCTATTGTTGCTACTGCTGCTATTGTTTCTACTGCTGCTATTGATGCTACTGCTGCTATTGTTGCTACTGCTGCTATTG